TCTACTGATAGGAAAAATCATCAGGAGCTACCTGATGATTTAGAAAAAATTAGGGTACTAATCGATCAGAATACTGGCACACATGTATGAATTTTAATGTTTAAAAATCGATTTTAGATTATAGTTATATAATTAGATTATTATTTTGATAAAAAAATATATATTATTTGTTTTAGTTTGAATGAGTGACATATTCTACTGATGATGTGAGGGCGGTAATCCCACCTGAGTTGAGGGGTCCATTAGATGTTTGGATGGCGATGGTCCCTCTGATCTGTTATGCGACCATCGAGTGGCACTCCACTGATTGCGTGCTCCTGCAGTTTGGTTGTTTTCAACCAATTTCGGAAGCACCTCGCAATATGAACGAGTTGCATAGCTTAGATAGACGCGGCAAGACAGATACAGATTGGCTGGTGAGGCATCATGAGTAGGTCGTGTTGTGGGAGGATCGACATCGGCGCCTTCCACGTAGAGAGCCCATTTTTTACTGACTTCTTGATGTATGCTGAGGATTATTATGAGTGGTTCAACAATAACGGGAAACCGTTTCTACTTCCCGATGTGCACGAGGGCAGACCTTTCCACGACGTCGATAGAGACGTTCACCGACACAACACCATCGTCCCCCAACTCGTGGACGGAGAGCAGGTGCTTCCGGTTCATCCTCAGCTAGACCAGCAGGATCTTCACAGCAGCCACCGTAGCCATTTATGATGTCGTAGCCATATATGATGCCGCCATCGCATTTTCATTATCAGATGCCGCTGCCGCCGCCTTCACATGGTTTTATGACCCCGCCGTCGCCACTGTCACAGATGACCCCTCCTGAAGGCTATTATTGGTCTATTTTTGTAGATTCGACTTGGGGTTCATATGCTGGATATTTGGCGGGTTCAGCCTCATCACCCACGGCCACAGCACAGACACCTCCTGTACAGTTTTCACACTCAGCGATGTCTGGGTTTTCCCAGTTTTCGTAGGCCGGTGGGATAGTCAGTCATACACCTCCAGGGTCCTTATTCTATGGAGGTGCTTCATCATCATCAGCTCCTCATCAACCTAATGTATCTTCTCAGAACGACGACGACGACGACGATGGTGATGATGATGACAGCGAGGAGTCAGAACTAGTGATACGAAGAAATCCTCCTCGAGGACCGACAGCCACCGCCCTGCGAAACACATTTGCGTCGCAGGCATCGATAGATTTTTTTTATATTTGTATTTACTTTATTTTGTTAAATTGTAGTTTTTTTATTATTTCTCATTTAATACTTACTTTATTTTGTTAAATTTGTTGGACTTTTTTTAATATATTTCAGTTAATTTTGTTTATTACCATTTAATATCAGTTATTGTAATTTGGTTATCATTTACCATTTAATACTTATTGTAAGTTTCTTGTATTTAAAATTATATTCAAATACCAATTTGGTTATCATTAACTTGAAGTAAATGTAAATTAAAGTACAAGAATTATTATTTGATAAACAAATACATCATTTCCTCATCAATTGTTACTTGATGACAACAGAAGTGGACATGTTTTTCTCGTGTGTCCTGGGTTTCTACAATGCCCACAACTTCTGTACTGTCTAGATCTTTCTCGAATATCCATATCGCAATAAATTCGATTGGATTTTGGACGACCACGCTCTCTCAATAAACTCGGATTTGGTACAATCGGAAGCCAATCTTGAACCTCATCAGGGTCTTTGTCATTACCTATGGGGGGAACACAAATTCATATACCTTAAAAACTTCAGATAGTAGGTATACGAGATCCACAAAATGGTTATAGTTTTGACGTGTGTGCGAGCAAGACGTTATCACATGAGAGCATGGATACTTCAGAGCTTGAAAAAACCCGTAGTCGCAAGTTCTGTCCCTTAGATTTGCTCTTAACGACACATCTTCAATCCCTTGAAGAGGTCGCGGCAACTCTGTGACACGAAACATTTCATGCCTTCTAGAGAATCTTGTTACAGACATTCTATTTGATGCAGTAATTTTTTTTTGTAGATCTGTAACTAATCTAGGGTGATAGACATGACCGCCTTGCATCTAGGTTTGAGCTTGTCCCCCAAGCTTCGCAAAAAGCACCCCCAAACAAAAATATGTAGTTTTTACCAAAGCCGCTACAGGTAAGTGACGTGCACCCTTTAAGGTTGAATTGATTGCCTCAGCTAAGTTGGTCGTCATGTATGCGTTCGTCCACATTTCTTTATCGATGTGGCTGATGTAATCGTATCTTTCCTCGTTCTTCGCCCGTAAATCTTGAAGCATTGATTCAAACGTTCGATGAAGTAGTTCGTAACATGATCAAAAAATGTATAACTTACTAACTTGCTTTCTTTGCAAAATTAAAATGATTAAAAAATGTATAACTTACTAACTTGCTTTCACTTACCCATGCACACAATTAATTGTCGCTCATCATTCTTCTTGTACCTTCCATAATAGTTCGCAGTAATGTGTCGGAGACTACCTATGTTGGACAAAGGGTGATTGCCACATTGGACCCAAAGACTCCATTGTTGCTTTGATCCCAGCTCCGCGATTTGAAATGACATAGATGTTTTCCCTCGTGATAACATGTGCACGTCAATTTCGGAGGAAAAGAGCCCAAAAATCTGTATCTTCTCCTTCGACAAGAGCAAAAGCAACTGAAAGAATGTTGTGATTGTCATCTTGGACAACTTGTTCAGTCAGCCCATAGTGGGAGCTTAATGATTGACTCCGAACAACACGCACTTGAACAAAATATGCATACATCTCAATAGCGGCGTCTGAATAATTACTTTGAGCTTCAATTATCTTTTGAACATCATCATTGTTTGAAAGTTCGAACGCTGTATAAGTTAATGGCAACAATGATGTTGGAAATATGTACTGCAACGACGACATTCTTCTACTACTTCCAACATGAATCTTCCTCGAAATCTTCATTATCAGCTCCTCAAGAGTTATGTTTCTTGAATGATATTTTACGCTCATTTGATACGAAAACAACGCCAGTTTCATTTTCTCGAATTTCACCATCATAATAAACAATAGCTGAAAGTCACACCATTCTTTGAGTTTAAAAGTGCGACAATATTATATCTGCAAAAAAAATAACTGAAACAAACCTGATTAAATAAATTATATATGAACGAAAATATAACACAATACATTTTTTACACATCAACGTAAATAATTTAAATAATATAATTTTATATTATTACCTGCACCGCAAAATTATTTCGACGTATGCTCTTGCTTTTCAATTTTATAAACATAAAAATTAATTGGAAATAATTAATATAATATTTTTTCAAATAATGATAATAAATAAACAATAAGTATAATTAAAAATTATAACAAAATTAACTTATAACGAAAAATCGCATGAACTTCTAAATCAAATATGAGAATATTGCCAGAATGATTACTTGTTGACGAAATTGTTGTATTAATTTATAAGTTGAGAGGAGAGATGAGAGGAGATGTGAGAAACGTAACCAGAGGAGGGTATTTATAAACATATAAGGCGCGGTACCTGCACCGCGTTATACATAATTATTATATAGTGCGGACCAGAGACAACGTTAAATATAATTTTGGTACAGCGTATAGCGCGACCCCTAATCCGCGCTATACCCTTACGTGGCGTATAGCGCGGTGTAGGGGGCACGCTATACCCACGTGTAACCCAGTCAGCGTATAGCGCGGTACAGGAGGCGCGTTATACTCCACGTGACGTCAAATTAGCATATAGCGCGGTTCAAGGGACGCGATTTACTACTACGAATGTTAGACCAAAAAATATAATATGACCTATTATATCGATAAATATATTGATCACCGGTGATTTTTTAGGAAAAATACCTTAAACTTTGACCCATACACATTGCTTGGTCTGCTCTTAGAGACATCTTATTAGTAGTACTATCTGTTTATTATCATTATTTTGTAAGTATAAAAAAGTATTTTGGGTAATAATTATTTTATTGGCATTTTTTTATTTTTTAAAAAGAGAAAATTAATAAACAAAAACACTAGTAAATGTCATCATTATAAATTGTGATGCACAAATTGTCATTTATAAAATAAATCATAATTATGGACTGGTTTACTGCTTTGACTGAGTAAATTAGACTTTTATTTAAAATATAAAAAATCATACCTAATAATGATCGTAAAATATTGAAGTTACCTTGTTACACTTCATATTAATACTAAAAGTGATACTCAAAATAAAAAAGTCATTAAATTTGTATCTTATTTATCAAACCTATTAAGCGATCCTAATAATAAAAGAGAATATTATTTTCTCTAGAGATATGATATTCGAGTAACTACGTGTATAGAATATATATACATTATTAATAGATAAAAAAATATATATATATTATCTTATTACTTTAAACTATTTTAAAAATATATCTTATTTATATATAAAAAAAAATTTGATTTATATTTTCGATAAATAATCATTTAGTTTTATATTTTTAAAAAATAAACTCAAATTATATGAGGAGTTTGTGGCCACAAAATTTATAGTTTGTATAATACCAATTGATAAGAGCGTGGGTCCATCTCACGCGCCAAACAAACACAAAACAACTGAACAAGACCTCGATTGCCTCGGTTTAAAGAATCTTCCCAGTAGTTCCTGCCAGCTGTCCACCCACGCTCCAGCACGTCACACGCGCCTCTCATTTCTCGTCTAAATTGTTTGAATTTCAAACTCGGCGTCCCGACGTTTTTACAGCTTAATTTTTCAGCTCTTTTTAACCCGCTCCTATACCCCACTACCCCAGTTTTTAACTTTAACATCAGTCTCCTATTGAACGGTCAATTCCTTAACGCCGTTAAGTTTTTTCTTTTCTCCACTCCTAAACCGCCACGTGGAATATGACACCTTACGGCGTTTAAACTTTAAGCCCGCCTCGTCTTGCTTTAAGAGCGAGTGAAGCTCGTTTCAGACCCGAAAAATCATTTTTTTATTTAACTTTTTCTTTCTCGCTTTTGCTTTTCTTTCTGGATATGGAATTCTCGCCGGAGGATTCAAGCATGTCTTCAACGTCGTCGTATTGGTGTTACAACTGTACCCGTCTAGTTCGTGTGTTGGATTTAGATGGTACAAACGACGCGGTTGTATGTCCGTACTGTGATGGTGGTTTCATCGAGGAGATCAATTCGTCGGATAATCACAACAGTCGATTTCCTGCCTTGTATATGATCGCCAACAACGATAACATCCGTCAAAATTCGAATCGGATGCGAAATCTCGTCTTTCGTAGGAATCGTCGAGGCTCCGTTGACCGGTCAAATATCAATCCGATCATTGTCCTACGTGGTTCAACCGATGATGAGAACAGCACCGCAGATGGAAACAACGGCAGCGGCTTTGGATTCTTCTATGACGATGGATCTGGTTCCGGTTTAAGACCGATACCGACTTCGATGTCCGAAACTTTAATGGGTATGGGTTTCGATCGGTTATTGGAACAGCTTTCGCAGATCGAGATAATCGGACTGGGTCAACCCGAAAACCCGCCAGCTTCGAAGTCAGCAATCGAATCAATGCCGATCGTTGAAATAGAGAAGACCCACGTTTGCTCAGAAACTCAGTGTGCCGTTTGTAAAGAACCTTTCGAGCTCGGTACGGAAGCTAGGGAGATGCCGTGTAAGCATATTTACCACGAGGATTGTATTATCCCATGGCTGTCTCTTCGAAACTCGTGCCCGCTTTGCCGGCACGAATTGCCGTCGGATCGGAGCGAGCCAAACGACGACGTTTCGGAGACGGTTGGGCTGAGTATATGGAGGCTTCCCGGTGGGGTTTTCGCGGTGGGAAGATTTAGGGGAGAAAGGGAAGTGCCAGTTGTTTACACGGAGATGGATGGGGGGTTTGGAGAATCGGGTTCGGAGCATGGAGCACCGAGGAGGGTGACTTGGGTCGGGGTTAGAAGAAGAGAGAACGGGTTTAGGAGAGTTGTTAGAAATGTGACATCGTTTTTGAGGAGAGGTTTGAGGTCTCCGAGTCAGACTCAGTCTCATAGTGGAAGGGAAGAATCCGGTGGGTTGACCAGGAATGGTTCAACATCAATGTTCCGTAGGTTTACGAGAAGCATAAGTTCAAGCTCCAATTCTGTTGTGCTGGAATAATTATTTTTTTATTTATTTATAAAAGCAAGTAATTTTTGTTTTCTTCAAATTCATTATGGGTTTTGAATTTATGAAAAAGGATTGTAAATACCATTTAATTGTCGAATTTGTGATATAGTGAATTAGCAATTTTCATGTTAATTTCTTCTGGATTGTTTCTGATACACAGCAAGAAGAAAGGATACCCAAAAGAAGAGTTTTGAGGAAAATGATTATGGTGAAATTGCACATGCAAAAAGGGTTTGGGATTATTTAATAAAAATATTACGTAATTGACACTATATAAACCTGATTGAATATTCATGTTGGTTATTTATTGGTTTAAAATATTCCAAATTGTGAGTATTTAAGTCAATAAAATCTAAAAGGACCATACACGATCCTTAATTCTCAATGCAAAATTAAGAAAATATGAATCAAGCTGGCAAACATATATATGAAGTGTTGGCATATATAATCCAGAGAAGGAATTAGTCAGATTCTCCTGGTGAATCCACTTGGCCGCGTTACCCAACACCTCATCCCCACCACATGGTGTGGACTACTTCCATTGTCCAAGCCCTACGAATTTCCTTCAAAAAAAAAAAAAAACGGTGAAGCTGTCTTATAACAACTCTCAAAAGTTTGAAACAAGACCATTAGGCCAATGCCCAAATGAAAGGTCACGTGTTAAAACAGGGTTAGGGTTTTAGTTTAGGAGCATTGAACATTTGGAGAGACAGAGAGAAAGAAGTTCCACCGACCCAACACAAATCACCGCTTCCACACTTCACTTGTTTTTAAATATCAACTGCTACTCAACCATCAATTTAGTGCCTTGCTAATTGCAATCTATCATCAATTTATCATCCATTATTTCATCCAACCGTCCGTAATTTACTATAGACACCATTCGTTAGTTACGATGAATTAACCAATGGATCATTTAAACCTATATGATGTAGGCTAAAATAAAAGATAATTAGGATTTTACTTTCTGTCTATCAATTACATCATTATTTATGACAATTACATCATTATTTCTAATGTAGGCTAATTGCAATCTCTTTGGGTTTATCCATTCTCTTAATTTAATCATATTTATCATACTATTTTATTATAAATCATATGACGGAAACGATTAATATATAAAATAATAATTAAATCAACCATTATTGTCAAATAATTCATGATAACGTTCAATTTTCATTAATCATACGATATCATCTAGAGAATACTGTTTACTCTTTTATAGAACTATGATTCTATATCTATAAATACAATTATATCATGTAGAGTTACATTCCCAACATACCAACCACCAGCTTACTACCTTGAGACACATCAGTTCTTGATGTATCAAAGAAATTAACTTGCTCTAATAATCAAGACATACTATATCTTTTTCGAACTTTAGATAACAGAATAATCTCAATATAAATTATTTAGTTAGGATACGCAAAATATAATCGTTAATAACCATTGCAAAAATATAATCATTATAAACAATGCTAAACTATATAATTTAAATATTTTATAACAATAAAATTGACTTTTCCATGATGTAAGATCAAGGACAGATGTAAAATTTTATGTTAGGAGTACGAACTTATAAAATTTTATGAAGGACAAAGACATATTTTTAATAGAAAATAAAAAAAAATTAAAATATATATGAATTTGAAATTTATCATTCCATCCACCCCTATAGGTCCATCCCTGTGTGAGAGTCTGTTTGCATTACTAAAATTATGAATCCTTGTCCTATGGTAGCAACTTAATGAAAGCTTTGGTTATGTTAACTTAATCAAGTAATAAAACTATTTTTGGGAAGTTGTTTATTAATTTTTAAGGGTAAAGTATAGTAATGGTCACTGAACTTTTTAAAACTTACATTTAGGTCCCTCAACTTTTAAAACTTACAATACATTCCTCTAACATTTAGTCCGTTTGCAATATGGTATCCGAGTAACCGGTCGTTTGATGCCGTTCGCAATATGGTCACTGAACTTTTCAGGCACTTGCATTTATGTCTCTCAACTTTTAAAACTTGTAATACAATCCTCAATTTTATTCTAAACCTCAAATTCTAAAATAATTCAATTATATTCTAAACCTTAAATTCTAAAATACTTTAATTTAGGGTTTAGAATAATTAAAGTATTTTGGAATTTGGGGTTTAGAATGTAATTGAAGTGTTTTGGAATTTTGAATATGAACATGCTATTTGACAGTGTTTACTTCAATATAAATTTGAGGTTTATTGCACGCACATCCAACGGCTGCCGTACTTTGAACATGAAAAGTGCACCTATCACGGTTATTACATAAACGATGAAGTAAAAGTAACAAGGCCAATTTATCTTGTTCGTAGCTGCCGCACTTTGGTATGACAATCCAATATGTTTGGATGGAAACATAGCATGCACATCTAACAATTGTGAAAATAGTAAAGAGTTTTAGTTCATAGGACTACAACATACAACCAAACAATAACTAAAATAAACCAAGAATATCAATTAATAACTTATTCAAAAGGAGGACTTAATAAATAAAGGGAAAGAGGTTCGATCATAGTCACTCCAAAAAATAAGGCGTCAAATTTCAAGATAAACTTTAGATGCCAAATACAACATTACCAGTTGCAAATGCATTAATGGCCTACCCTTTTAACATATAATTGTTTCTAATGCTCCATGTTTAATGTTCCTCAATAGCCAAACATGTTGAGAATCTAAAGTAGATAGCGGAACTAAAATCATAAGACCCATAATTCTTGTAAATTCATGGCATGTCAGCAATAAAAGACATTGTAAAACATAAAGAACACTGCAATAAAAATCTATATGCCAGAAATAAAGATGCAAATGTGCAATGACCAGGCAACATATCAAGTAGCTGCTCCAAATATACTACCCTGTCATAGTGCCTTTCGAGTTGCATGCATGCATAATTGTCTTCTAAAGCTATAATTCAATACATATTCAACTGTAAAATTTCCAAAACATGTAAAAAAAATCAATTCGTTCACACTATATCAGTCCCATAATCAACTTTTAAAACTTATTAAAAAGAATACGAGCTCACAAGACGCCGAAAACCTCAGGTCGGATCAATGCAATTCCCAGTAAACTAGTACCAACAGTCTCTCGGATTGAGCCTAGCGATTTCACTATATCGATACTCACAACCAAATCCCTGATTTAAAGAAAAACCAAACAAGAAGATCAAAAAAAGTTAGCCTAGGACCCTCTTTCACTTCTATTATGATGGATTGAATATCTTTCATAAGGAGTACTAAAAGTTTTGATTAAGAAGAAAGAAATAAAACTGAATATCCATATCCTTGACATGCAGTTCCAGAAACATAAAAATTTCAACAAAAAACACACAATGCGAGATGAAAATGAGAAAGTGCGAAAGAGAAAAAACTTACTTCCGGATAGCCCAAAAGAGAAAATAAATACCTTCTTGCAAGTGAGGGGAGAGACTAAGAAATAAACGCAATTGGTGTTGCGTTCCAACAATTCTTCCTCCATTTTTTTCTTTGTAAATAAAAAGCTGAAAGACAAATCACTGTTTGGGTTTACAATTTTACATGGCGGAAAACTGAAGAACAAAAAACCAAACGAGAGTGCATGTGAGCGAAAGAGACTGAGAGGTGAATACGTTGTTTGGGATTTCATTATATTTTATCATCTGTTGGAAAATCTTTAACCACAAGGATTAAACGAAGAAATTATTATATGTCATTTATATAAAATAGTTCCAGCTTTGTTGGTGACTTTCAACAATGATACTTAGTTCATCTTAGTAGTATTTGTCAATCCTGCATTTCTAACCCCATTTTTTCTCACAAGCATTTCATCGAACATCTATGATTCACCTGAGTTGACATGTATATAACATTACACCTTGAATCGTTGATGGTCTCGATAGTCTCTTGGTCGAGTCTTCTCTTAATGGACCCTTATTTAAGTCAACACCTCCACATAATTCAAAGTTAGATTAAAATTTTTCATACATTCCCGACTGAAAAGTTACACGGGAAATGAGAAGAGAGAAACAAAAAAGAAAATTCGAGATCAAAAATGAATTTAGGGTTTCGAATGAAATAGAAGACTATGTTGAAAGTTTTAAAAGTTGAGAAACCTAAATACAAGAACCTAAAAAATTCAGTAATCATATTACAAACGACGTCAAACGCCGATTACATCATAGACCATATTGCAAACGGTTACTATACTTTACCTTTTTTTTAAAGAGAAGGATGAGATATTTGGAAGTTTGGATGCCGACTTAGCGATGAATCATAAATCACAAATCTTAGTGGGTGCATAAATGAGAGATCCAACGGCTGATGTTAATTCATCAAGCTGTTAACAAGATGTGGCAACGGTTAGATTCAAATTGAGTGCACGTGTCATTTTCTAGAGCTTTCTCTCTTGATATTAAAAAAAGAAAAATGAAGAACAGACAAGTAAATTGCTATTTTCAGTTTTGGACAAAGACACGGAGGGTTCAATCGCGCGACAGCACACGAAGAAACAAGGTAAGAGAAACAAAGAAATTTTCTTGCATTCCTTATTTTGTTTCCTCTCAAATCTCTCCTATTTTGCAATTTGAAGTATGGCCGTTGGATCGATCCATCGATCTTCGATTTCCTTGAGTAAGTTTTCTGTGTTTCTTCGCATCAAATTCTGTTTGTTTGCTGAGAAAACGGTGGAAAGATGAGACTTTTTCTTTTGCTTTTACCTTACGCTTTCTCTTCATTCACTAAAGACCTGGAAAATCGATTTTTCCCTTTTTCTTGTGATTTTGATTCATATAGGCCAATGTAGGCCTCTGTGTTATTTTTTTGTTCATTTCTTTTAAATTCCTTTATTTCTTTTGCTCATTTTTCGGTTGATTCAGTCTTTGTGTGTTTTTTAAAATAATGTTAAAAGATTTAGAAAGGAAGGAATTTGAATTAGAAACTCTGAATCTTTTGCTTCTGAGTATCGTAAAGTATGTCTGAATTAATTGTTAACTATACTTTAGAGGATGGGGCTTTAAAGGTAAAATTTAATTACTAAAGTAGTGCAAAAAGGAATATGTCATTGCAATTTATAAGCAATTCGATGAAATGGCTTTTTTAAGTTACTTTATGTGAGAACTGAGAAATAAAGATATGGTGGTATTAAACCTTGAACAAATTTTGTATTGGATATCTTTAGTGGGTCATATTTGTTAAGCTTTAACACCATTTGAAATTTTGAATCAGTAAATTGGATGGTTTGGTCTTCACTGGTTTTATCTGTAATGGCTTATTGGGATTAGTACTAAATCTACTATGACTTTGTTTCCACTGAAAATTTCATGATATTTTATTCCTTTCCCCTGTTGGATTCCAATTCCTTATGTTGGATTTCTAGCGTTTTCTGGTCATGCTTTGGAATATTGTATTGGTTTCTTTTTTATCAGGGAAAGTGGTTTTAGCTTAATAGTAGACAATGGCAATTCTAAATTGAGTAAATTTCAATTTAATAAAGGATGATTTACTGGCTATCTGTGTTTTATTTGATTGTAATGACTTGTAACAGTGATTCACATTTGTAATGTCATAGGATTTGAACGGTTTCAAGAGAAGAAGTTGTTTGTATCTGCCGCCGCCTTTTAGACTATTGTAATTTCTGCTTTTCTGCAACTATGAGTTTTGTTTTCCAAGGGACTAGAGGGGATATTGAGAGCGGGTTTTCAGGATTTATCCCTGAACCTCCGGCTGTGGTATGCTTGCTTTTCCACATCAGCACATTTTATCTGTCAGTTTTTTTCATCCTATATAATGGGGTCTGAACTCTCATTGCACTATTATTTTTACCAGCGTATACATGCTGCTCGACCAGTTAACTCCAATTCACTGGCCTTTCTTGTTACAGGTAATGTTTCTAGTTGCATATGTATTTGTCCATTGCATTTGTTAGAACTTTTCCTCTAATAGTTCCTTGTTGTGCCTTTAACTTGCATTTCTAATATATTCTTGTTTGTTGTCAACAGTTCTTTTGCTGTTCATGATTTTGAACTCTCATCAAATGTCACCAAACTTTCTGGTATGTACACACTATACATTCAACGGGAGCATGATGCGGCGTCTGTTAATTCATTGCATCCTTGTAGTTAACTTCCGTCTCTTTGTGCAGCTTTGGCTAGTAGTGGGTGTTTTTCTGATGGCTACGAGTCTAAGGATGTATGCAACTTGTCAGCAACTTCAAGTTCAGGCCCGAGCTCATGCTGCAGCAGCTAGTGGCTTACTTGGTCACACTGAGTTACGCCTGCACATGCCACCATCAATCGCTTTTGCCACTAGAGGACGCTTACAAGGACTAAGACTCCAACTTGCACTTCTTGATCGGGAATTTGATGATCTAGGTATGGCGCTATTTTCCAAATTTACTTGTAAGATTCCATGAGTTGGTTTTAACATGCATGGACAGCAGGACAGATACTCAAATGAGTTTTGGTGGTATTTCGTTTGGTTATATGAAGATTATCATTTTCTTTCCTTATGCTCCAGATTATGACACCCTGAGAGCATTGGATTCTGATAATATTTCCACAACCCCTTCAATGAGCGAGGAAGAGATAAATGCCTTACCTGTGCACAAGTACAAGAGTCCTGGTCCCGAGTGGTATGCCTTGCCACTAGCATCCGAGTTTCTTTTGACCGAATTCGTAATCAATCACATTGATTTCTGTTATTTTTACAGTGCTGGATCATCACTGAAGCAGGCATCATCTTCGTCTGCCTCTGTTGAGGTATTGATAATCATAGAGGGTGTTTATGTGTTCAAGATGTCTTTGTCTGTGTATTTTTCTGAATTATACCTATATATTGCAGGCAAAGCAAGATTCTAGGACTGCGGATGGGAGTATGAAGGAGTTGGAAGATGACCTAACTTGTACCATATGCTTGGATCAAGTTAACAGGGGGGAACTTGTTCGGAGCTTGCCATGTTTGCATCAGGTTCTATTTTACTTCTATGTTGTCATCTAATGATTATACGATCTCAAAATAAATATATCGATAACGATCTCATCTTGCAGTTTCATGCCGGTTGTATTGATCCGTGGTTGCGGCAACAAGGCACGTGCCCAGTATGTAAGTTCAAAATGGGTTCAAAATGGCAGGAAAACAGGGAGAGCGAGTCGGATGATTCAGACATGGTTTAATTTCCCACCTTAGTAATATAAATATGTATGCATCAAAGTATATGAAACACGTCATATTTGCAGATACAAACAATTTATGTTCTTTTTTTCTGAAGTGGTGTATCATAGTGCAGGAATTCAGGGAGTGATTGTGAAGGATCTTTATCTGACTGATTGGAACAGTAATAGTATTTGATTAGTTATCCTCTAAACATGTCCGGTTTTGGTTTACTAGTCCAACCGAGTTAGAATTTGTTCTTAGTTAATTTATAATAATTTTTTTAAAAAATGTTTTATATTTAACTTAGAGCAAAGTAAAAATCATCCAACTCCTGAGTAGCTATACGAGAACCCTAAACATTTGTATAGTAGCTTAAAAGGAAGGTTGGTCAAAAGTCGGCTATCCTTGGCTATGAGACTCATCCATGGGTTCCTTTTTCGTTGGAGAGAGCTGTTCTCACCAACCCGTGCATGTCCCAGTGAGGAGGCTTTCATGGCAATAATAATCACCATCAATGTAAAATCTGGTATTCATTTGCTTCATTGCCAAGATATAGTGTAAAATCTGAGATTCAGTGACTTTCATTGCCAAGCTATGGGAAGATAACCTTTTCTGATCATATATACAACTAAACCTTTTCTGTCAAAATTTGTTCACATATCTATGGCTAAATTAATGTTTGTCTGCTGGCATGAAGTTCGACAGCTTCGGAGTGGATGGGCGGGTGGGTTGTTGTACGTCGCAGAATGTTCCATTCAACCTGGCCCGTCTTATGTGTACAACTTCACCACTACTGGCCTAATAGGCAGCGTTTTTATGTAAAAAAACCTCAATAATTAATTAAATAGAAAAACAACCCCAAAATAGCATTATTTAGAAAAATAACATTCAAACTGCCAACGTAAGATTGCATCGCGTTTTACAAAATGCATTTTAAAGACTTCACGTTTTGCAAAACGCGAAATCTATTAACTTTTCAGATAACTTCAATTAATTTATGGAAAAAGTGTACTATAGATGCTTGGAACTCGTGTTTCATAAAACGTAAAATTTTAATCGTTTTTTTTGTAAAATGTGAGATTTGGAAGTTATTTTTCTAAAAATAAATTACGGGTTCTTTTTTTAAATACTGTTTTGGGGTTATTTTTTTAAATAATTAATTATTGGGGTTTTAAAAATAATAATGCCCCAATAGGCACCCTCTTCTGGCATGGCCACTTTTCATGGCTTAGAGCAACTACTTATGAACCACTTATCATCCTCCCAAGGCCAAATGAGTCATACCCTTTTGTCAAACTCTACAAGCAAATTTGAAGAACCGTCCACTTCTTAAACCAGGCTTGCCTGCTATCAGTGCAACAAATTCACATGCCAAGGACCGAATGGACACGAAACTCCCAGCTTCGATGAACAACATCTCGTTTGCTCTCCGCACAACTGCACTGCTCCAATCCTACTTCCCCCCCGCCCCCAATTTAATGGCGTTTAAACCACTGATTTCCCAGCTTTCCCTCTTCATCCATTCAATTACACGGGTACACCACCTAATAACACACTCATAAGTAATGGCAGTAAACTCGTGGTGATACCGTTCGATACGAGTGTGAAGTAGTGTTGCAGGATACGAGTATTCTCAGTGCCGAGAGCCACCGGTTCCATCTCCATGGCTATAATATTTATGTTGATGGTCAGGGTTTCGGAAACTTTTGACCCTGAAAATGACCCTCCCAAGTTCAACCTGGTTGATTCTGTTGAAAGGAACGCTATAGGTGTTCCCTCTGGTAGTTAGGATTGCAATCCGTTTTCAAGCTGACAATCCTGGTAATTAACAATAGATCATACAAAATATAAATATATGCATTTAATGACTTGTAAACTATACATATATATTATATAATATATAATGGTGCAGGATTTTGGCTGATGCACTGACAATTTGATGTCCATTTGAGCTGGGGATCAAGAATGGAATGGATAGTCATAGTCTTGGATAGGAAGCTCCCAAACCAGAAGCTGCCTCTTCCACCTTTGATCTTCCCTCCCTTGGATTTGAACCATGAAGCTTCAAGCTTGACATACATACATGACTAATTTTTTTGTTAAACCACAACAACTTAAAACTCATCATAATTTAATTTCCAAAATAACAAAATACTTATATTTACTGCAACTAAATTTCGTAACAAAATAATAATGATAAATACAAATAAAAAAATTACCAATCTAAGCATCACACATGATGGTACTTGTAACTCTCTATAGCACTTGGTGTGTCACTTTAAAACTTATTGTTAATGTATTCAGAATATAGAAAAGTTGTTTTTTTCTTTAATTTCCTTAAAATGGCTTGAGAATGTCACATGAAAACATGTGAACTGGACAAAGCATGGGCAGATGAAAGCATGGTATTATTATTTATTTATTCCAACGAATTAAGAAACATGGTAGTAGTCCATTAAAAAAAAGTTGAAACAGGGCCACAAACCTAAAGAAACTTTTTTCAATTCTGATTCAAGCTTAAAAATAATAATTAATTAAAATTAAAATTTAATTTGATCATAAGTTTAAATTTTAAATTAAATCTAAAATTTATTTGAATTAAAAATTAATTTAAACTTAAAACTGATCCAAATCTAAAATAAAAAATATCCGAACTCGATAAAATCCATCCTGAATTCATGAGTCTATCTAGTATAAAATGTTTTCTACCTTATCCAATGTCTTGCTGGTAGCCAACTGGATAATGCTTTCCATTAATCTCTTGGGAACCTCTTGTCTGACAATTGGTCTTATTTTACACCTTCATGGTTTGCCATTCATGGAATGCAATTTGAAAATATACAAAGGCATATTGGTGTGAATCTGATCAAGATTCACACCAATATATAAATGCTGAAATATGAACCAACAACAATATCGATTGTATTTCAGGTTGTTCCAAAAATGCATGATAAAAGTTCAGAGTTATTCAAACACTAATCACGTGTGCATGCGTTGTCTGTGTGTATAATATAAGACATGCAAGGATGATTGTGACAGAGTCGTTATCCTTCTTTTCAAAATACATATTGAATAGTATAACACTGCTTTTAAAGTTCAGTACTTCTCTATTATTTTCAATGTCAGATTAATGCAATTTGATACTCCTGTAATGACATAATGGCTTATTTTTCATGTCATTCAGTATAAGAATTGGATTCACTAAATGAACAATTTATAGGTAATGCATTAAATGAATATATTTATATCCAACATAACACATCTGAGTCAAAGTAATATAACTTGGGGGCTATGGAGAAGGAAGAATATAGATGTTTAGTGTCAAAATCTACATATATAATATGTTCTAATAACTACTATTTTCATGACCACAAAAAAGGGGGGGGGGAATCAAATCATTTGCTATTTTTGCCTTTGTTAATGTGCAATGGCATTTCATATACCAGAATATTGGATCACATTCGAATCTTTTAGCTTATGCTTTGGTGTTTATAATCACTTCCTTATTTGAATTTTAACTATTTGATTAACAATTTTTTTGTTCATTTTCATCCTTCAGACTAAACAAAGCCTAAATTTCTCTATGTTGCATTTCTATATGCATATTTCTATAGACATTTTAGTAGATAAATACAAAACTTAGCCATATCCTTTTTTTTTTACATATATCAATGATGTAAACCCTAATAATTAAGCATCCTTCATGTTGACCCTACTACTATTTTACAAGAAAAAGTACAAGAACTTCTTGTAACTTGGAATTTCAGCTGACCAAAATAAAATTAAAGAAGTACTGCCAAGATCTCCAAGATTATTAGATTACTGGCTCTTCATATATATATATATATATATCAAGAAAACCCTAGACAGTTTATTAGATTATCACTTGTTTCAGCAGCAGTCCCCAACAAAGCGAAAGGAGCATGACTAGAAGAATCGGTCAAAAGATGAGAAGGATGCTAGAGAGAAATCATAAATACCTTTGCTATAGTCTTTATTTCACCCCTGGAGTGGCATCTGTAACAGGAGTTTCTCATGGATCGAAACTGGGAATTTTTCAGTAGAGAAGTGAGAGTATAGCCAACATGTTTGCTGATGCAGCATCATCAAGATTCCCACATCTGAAAGGAAACTTTGTCTCTCCAAAGACACCCTTACCCAAGTTTGTGAATCTTGATAATGTCGCATCTGCAAACACTGACCCTTTGATTATCACAGATGATGAGATCTATCTCTCCCCATGCAAAGTGAAGAAATATGGATAAAACCCTAACCCTTTTTAAAGGAAAAAGAAAATCAACCTATACTAAAAAGTGGTAAACAAAAGCAAATAAAGCAAAACAAACCCACCCCCAGAGATCATTTTGCAACTGCCCAGAATTAAAAATAAAAAACACCCAAAGTTCAAATTAAGGGGGGAGAAAAAGAATACCCTAGCTATCTAGGTTGGGTTGACCATGGCATCACATAATTGCAGAAAAGAAAATAAACCAGCTATAGGAGAGAAAATATTGTGATCTAAGAGAAAATAATGACTCTTTCAACATAAACCAAGTATATATATACCTATATATATATACATAGGGAGTCGTTGTGAGGAAAATTAATGGGGGTGAAGAAGGTATATATAGAGAGAAATCTTAATGAAGCAGAAGAACAATATCTTTTAGGGGAATCCATGTTTAAACAAATACAGGTGTCCAATGGGGAACTGTTTAGTTGAGTTTCAGAGAGTGAGAGAGAGATAAAAGATTCAAAGCTGATGAGTTTTTGATTAATTTATAAGAAAGTGATGCTGGGTTTGGGTAATCAGAGAGTTAATTAGAGTATATAATGATGATTCTGCAATACAGAAATTAATTATAAGCTAACAGTCTGGCCCTTTCTTTATTATTATTATTCCCTTAAAACAAGCCTTCAATTATGTTGATTATATTATGGGAAGAACAACTTTATTAGGGATTTTCAAAAGGGATTCCTGTACACACTAAAATTAAAATCTAGTAGTTTAATGATTGATTCAGCTTCTAATCATTTAGATTTGTATTAACTGGATCAAAACTTTAATTTCATTAGAATTTTAAGTGTTCAAGACTAGTGTTTAGGTTTATTAAAAGTAGTTATGTGATAGTAATTAAAAATAACTTTGTGAAATA